CAAAGAGCCGTTCAAAAGAATTGGATCGTTCGCGAACGTCACATCACTATTAGACTTGGATTTCCCCCTCCACAATGAGACACGGTGCATCTGAGTTCAAGCCAAATGTAATCTTTATTAGACTGTTTCTGTACAAAAAGCACTGGATCACAGGAAAATAAACCAGAAAAACATGCATCTATTTACAGCATGGCAGAGACAGAGGAGAGAGCGTGGCCCCCGTTGGTAATCTAAAGACATTAATAATTAAACATTGTGCTTTGATATACTTTGATGATATATTTCATATTTCACAAAGATGCAGTACCTCTGCCCTCTTTCACATTGAAGAAAAAACATCCAAGAAAAAGGTTTCTTTGCAGTTTTTAAAAACCAGGACGGTGAGAAGCAAACTTTCTACAACGGTGAGCAGAAATAAAAGTTATTATTATTATCGTTATTATTATTATTATTATAGCAAGCTGTGGAGACGAAACGGAGACTTTGAGGAGCGACGTTTCACCGTTAAATGAATGAAGCTTTTCCTGAACAGATTCAGTTTGCATAAAGTCAAAAGTATGATCCGTCTAAAGTTTAGAGATCTTACTATTCTCCATGTCTTTTCTTTCTTTCTTTCTTTCAGCACTAACTCATCTTATAGACCGTTCATAAACAGAGAGATGTCCTAAAACCAAATAAATGTAAATGATGAAATATAGATTTTGGAAGTGTAAGGACTTTTGCTCATCGATACCAAACTCAGATCTCTTATTTTTGGCAGTTTTCTGTAACGGTACGTCCACACGGCAGCGTCACGTGCTTCAACGGAGACGCTTCCCATTCACTTTGAATACCAGTATAAGCTCTAGCCAATCAAACCGCGTGCTTGTGTGTCCGGGGCGGGAGATTAATGTGATTGGTTGTTGGTCGCACGCCAGACACGCCCACCGGCAAGCTTCAACGCGACGCTGCCGTGTGGACGTTACGTAAAGATGAAGTTATTACGAGTCTAAGTCTGTAATAAAAAACATCATTTCTTGTGATCTCCATCATTTCTGAATCTCCAGAGTCCAGAAACTATGGGATGTTGTAAATATAAGGCTGTCTGCTCTGAAATACGCAGATTGCTGAATTACGTGATTTTGTTTTTCGTACCAAAGTCGTTATTTGGGATTTTTCGCAATTTTTTGTAATTTGATATAGAAATGTTGCTAACAGGAAATGTCTTTGTTGTGATTTCCTGGGATTTTAAGATGTTAAATCATAATTATGTGCTTAAGTATTATTTTTAAATTCATGTACATGATGCTCTTCTGCGTTAACATCCCAGATCAGTTGTAGTACCTCTCTGCGTCGTAAGATGGCGCTGTTTACCTTTTAAAAGGCATTTCCAGTTTCAGGTCTGCGTTGATGATGCTAACTTTTTATTTTTTTGAAGGGGAACCTGAGGGACAAATGGTGCAAAAACATTCTCTCAGTTTCACTGGAGAGTCGACGATTACGAGAAATAAAAACGTACGATAACCGCTGCAGAACTGAAGCTTTGTCGAAGGTTTGTGATGTCGATCGGGGGGCATCGACTTTACGATAACATTTCAATTGATTACAGAACAGGAACACAGTTGCATAATTAAAATCAGGATCGATGGAAGTTTCCTTGAGATCCAAAAATCTGCCGCTGCCTGTTTTTTTAAATCGTACGATCATTCTCACCAAAAAACACAAAGACGGGGATCGGGTTTGAATATTAAGATGGATAAAATATCGTCTTCTAAACACCGAAACCAAACGTAAGAGTGGAGGATTATTATAAGCTTCTGAAATATAAAAAACTTCACATGACGAGGATTCTCAGAAAACATATCGGTGCATATCGTTCTAGCTTTCTGAGTTTTTTTTTTTGTGTAACTGTTAGCTTTTTTCTCTTTTTTGCTAAGATGCATTGCTCTTATTAAGTGCCCCAACAGAAATAGTGCATTAAGGAATAACCATGATTATACATTTCACAATAATACACAAAGGACGAGATAACCAGGGGAACGAATGATGCTTTTACAAAAAGTTAAATATCGGAAAAAAGCAGTTTTTTTATACAAAAGTGATGAAAGCCTTTTTTTAACGTCCTGCTTTCAAAAACAGGGTGACGGGTTGTTCTTGTTTTTACAAAAGGGTTAATTCCTCTCACTTGTTCACTCTTTTTACAATATCTAAAAGGTATTAAGACATCAAATGTGTTTACAGATATATTTGAGACTATCGTTCAGGCCTAAATCACAAAAGGAACTCCCCGAAAACAAACTTTTTTTTATAAATACATATAAAATAAGAACACACTCAGAAGAAATACAAGAGAATCTGAATGTGATTAAAACTGCTGCAAGCGTCTCTGCTTTAAATCTACCACACGGAGAAAAACAGAACTATTGTACGGAGTATTTCAAATGACAGAGAAACAAAGAAAGAAAATGATAAAAAAAAGAAACGAGAAACATTTGTTCTGTCTTTAGTTTTAAAAGATTTCTGCATTTGCCTCCTTTTTTTGGGATATGAGACGTTGTTTAAAAGCTATGGTACAGAGAGGAGGAGATTTTAATATCAGCCGTCTTTAAAGAGTCGGGAAGATTTCTGATTGGAGATCCGAAAACACCGTTTGACGGCTTTTTCCAGATTAAAAAAAATGTAAAAGAGTTGAATTTTTCCTGGTTTCAGATTCAGAATCCACCGAAAGCTCCTGAGGAACTATCAAAGTCTGCTTTGAGAACATCTGATAATAAAGTCACCAATAATATAACTTGTCTCAACTTTAATTTGGCGAGATCTCATACAAATTTGATTTAATGGACTATTTGAGAATTTTGTAGAATGTTGTAGAATTTCTGGACATTTTTGAGATTGCTACCTGCTGAATGTTGCTCTTCAATTATACTTTTCCTTTATTCAAACCAACACTTTTGACTGCTTTCAGTTTAATTTACTGTATTTTCTCTCATTGTTTTGGGGTTTTCTGACTTATTTTTCATCCAATTTTGGTCCAAATTCTTTCCAAAAAAGCAACATTTAGCTTGACTTTTTTTGGTAAAATTGAACTATTTTCTGACCTTTTAACTATATTTTTCAGCATTGGTCAAAAGTTCTTTCCAATATTGTCCAGTACAACTTTGGAGCAAATCTAAATAACTGTACACTTTTTAATTTGGCGTCTGGGAGCAGCTTTGGTATAAAATGTGTTTAGCTGTGATTTGTAATAAACGGCAAAAATGTGTACTGGCCCTTTAAATGCAACCGGATTCTAATCAACCAATGAGATCGCAGCGTTTCAGAAGCTGTCGGTGGATCTACTTCCTGTCTCACAGTGTTTCAAACTGATCTGAGACCTGTTCAGACTTCTGAAGTCTCACTAACACACAACATATAAGCCCCTCCCCCACATTCGAACGTCCAATGATTGGGCTCCATTTCGAGCACAATGGCAGGAAATTGAAATTCAAACGTTCTTCTTCTTGAGTTGTAGTTTCCGGGGTCGATGGGAATATTTTTTGAGGAGGGGGGGGGTCTGAAGATCCTCCTCACATGGGGGGCACGATGAGACCTGCCATGGCTGAAACACACACACACAGACACACACACACATTTTAATAACAGTTCAACTATTAGCAGAGATGGCAAAAGTACACACATCTTTCCTCAAGTAGAAGTACAGATACTCGTGTTTAAAAATACTCTGGTAAAAGTAGAAGTACTGACTAAATGTCTTTACTCAAGTAAAAGTAAAGAGGCTTTGAAATGTATTTCAGTAAAAAGTACCCATAACTAGCAGCTGTTTTAAAGAGTACCTGACCTCCCTTTATATTAATAGAACAATAATGTCATTGTTAGCTAATGAATGTTTCCATGCTGAACAACGGCAACATGACAACGTTTTCATTGGTCCCTCTTCTTTAGAGAAGACCAGGAAATGATGGATACACGGATCGTGTTCAAATCAATAGGCACGCAATGACTCTAAATAATAATGATCACGCCACCAAACACACATTCAAACTAAAGGAACCAGCCTGTTTGGAAAATGTGAGAAGTAGAAAGTACAGGTATTTGTGTTCAACATGTAAGAAGTAGAAAGTACAGGTATTTGTGTTCAACATGTAAGAAGTAGAAAGTACAGGTATTTGGGTTCAAAATGTAAGAAGTAGAAAGTACAGGTATTTGGGTTCAACATGTAAGAAGTAGAAAGTACAGGTATTTGAGTTCAAAGTGTAAGAAGTAGAAAGTAAAAAGTGGTAAGAAAAATAAGTAGTGGAGTAAAGTACTGATACCAGAACAATGTACTTAAGTATAACAAAGTATTTGTACTCCAATACTTTCCACCTCTGACTATTAGACATGCAGGAAATTGACAGAAGAAAAAAGGCTCATCAAATAATTTGTAAACATTTATTATTTTTTATTTTGATCTACATATTAGTAGTTTTTATTTATCATTCAGTCTAAAAAAATTAGAATTTTTTTTTTTATCTGTTCCGATTGGTCAATGGCTAAATGATATCCCGCCCCTCAGCCTGTCACGTAGAATGTGTCTGAGCATTAGCCAATCAGAATCAGATTACCTTTATTCGTCCCACAGAGGGGAAATGTACGTAATTTCTAAAAATAGGAGCACGAGTGCTCCGTAGTGATGTCACTATGTTCAGGAAGTAAACAAAAAGCAGTTTTTATTTTCAGACGTTACGGATCAACTTTGAGCTCGATTGTTTTAGCTTTTTCAAAATAAGAGTGGGGGCAAGCATGGTGGAAAGGGGGAAGGGGGGGTGTTTAACTTGATTGAATGTTGATTTGCATTATTATGGGATGGGATGTACCATCATTAGCTGATAAAATTAAAATAAAAGCACTTTTTATTTTCAGACGTTATGGATCAACTTTGCGCTCGAGTGTTTTAGCTTTTTCAAAATAAGAGTGGGGGTAAGCAGGGTGAAAGGGGGAGGGGGGGTGAGGGTGGGGGTGAGGGGGGGGGGGATGCTCACCCTGGAGGTTGCTGCCATTGGACGAGGTGCAGCCGGGGGGCGGGGAGACCTGAGGCCTGACGACGGGGGCGAAGGCGCTCTTCTGTTTGACTGCAGAGACCATATGCACAGGAGAGAATGAGAGAGGGCCTACAGGGGAGAGAGACAGGAAGTGAGGCGGGGGGGAGACAGGAAGTGAGGCGGGGGGCAGGTGAGTGACAGGTGATGGGGGGAGGGGCATGCAGGAGGGGGAGGGGCCGAGACGTCTGCAGGTAAATACAAACAAGCTGCCAAAGTTGATCCATGACTTTGAAGGACTTTTATTTTTTGGAAAAACCAACCTGAGAGCAGCAGCAGCAGCAGATTCATCACACACTCAGCACAGGTGTGTGTGTGTGTGTGCGTGTGCGTGTGCGTGTGTGTGTGTGTGTGCGTGTGTGTGTGTGTGTGTGTATGTTTGTGTGTGTGTGTGTGTGTGTGTGTGTGTGTGTGTGTGTGTGTGTGTGTGTGTGTGTGTGTGTATGTTTGTGTGTGTGTGTGTGTGTGTGACAATGTCCATCATCTGTGTGTTTAAAAGTTCATTTGATGTGTTTTAATTCAACTTTTTGTATTTCCTTTTTTTCCTTTTTATGTCTGTGAGCACCTGAAAAAGCGCTTAGAAATCAAATGTATTATTGTTATTATTATTGATTAATATTTGTTTGTTTTTATATTGTAATGAGTACAGGGATAAGACCACTTGTTGATGAAGATCATGTGATATGACGGAAAGCTCCAGAACATTTACTCAATAGCCTTTCAGGTGAAACTGTCTCCCGTCAGTGCCAAGAAAACTCATCAAATCATATTCATTCTTTAAGATTTACAACAACAAAATACCATATTTTCCATTCAAGTGTAATTTTGGAATTCCGTGAAACTCCGGCTAGCAGTTTCCCTCCACTTCCAGTCTTTATGCTAAGCTAAGCTAACCCCATCCAGATAAAAACAGCAGAGGAGGAGATACAGAAAGTTGCACTGTCCCTTTAAGAGCTCCCGCAGTTTATAGACTCAGTGTGTTAAAGACAGTGTGTGTAGATGTGAGTGTGTTAAAGACAGTGTGTGTGAATGTGAGTGTGTTAAAGACAGTGTGTGTAGATGTGAGTGTGTTAAAGACAGTGTGTGTGAATGTGAGTGTGTTAAAGACAGTGTGTGTGAATGTGAGTGTGTTAAAGACAGTGTGTGTGAATGTGAGTGTGTTAAAGACAGTGTGTGTAGATGTGAGTGTGTTAAAGACAGTGTGTGTGAATGTGAGTGTGTTAAAGACAGTGTGTGTAGATGTGAGTGGGTAAAAGCAACACATTCTCACTCCCAACTCGGCCTATGTTGACGTTATGTCAGGGTCCCTATCGTCACTTTCCAACGCAAGGGGGGGCCCTTTAGCGTCGAATCTCAACTTTCGGAGATGTCCATTGACTTGCATAGAGCTCCCTGAACGTTGGTAATAGACGAGTTGGGATCGCAGAGAAATGCTCTGCGCAGACCCATTCTCACAGCATTTATCAACCTTTTTCTTACTCAATATCAAGCCACACTTATTGTTTTTACTTCTTTATTTTAATTGAATAATGTCGGACTTTTGTTGCTGTCAGTTAGGGGGAGAGTAGGGGCTCAGAAAACTGACATCTGTATTGTTTCATCGTTTTTTCCTTCTAATTTTGTATTCTTTTCTAAACCACACACTGTTATTTACTCAACAATAACACACAATTATCCTTGTGTTTATTTATTTGTTTGATTGTATAATTTCGGACTTTTGGAGTCCGTCAGGACCGAGGGTCGGAGCAGATCATAATGTAGTAGTTGCTTTAGAGAATTTTACACCCGGAAGTAAGTATTCTCTCCGCTTCGCTTGACAAACCTCGTGATTAGTCCTCAAGCTCTGTGATTGGATGTTTGAGTGTGCGCCGAGGGTTACTTCGAGCGTCAAACAGCACTTTGAAATGGGATGGAACCACGGCAGACTATCCAAAACTGGATTTGAATGGGTCCACATGAGAACTACACATGCTGGCTATTGTGTGTTTCGCAACATGTTCTATGGCACGTCTCTGCTGGGAATTGTAGTTTTAAAAGACGTTTTCGTATTTCCCATAATAAGAAGTTGCCAGTATTACACTGTGTACATCCCTGGAGGTTTAGGGGATAGGAAACACTCACATTTAAAACATATAATTAATAAATGGGTGAAAATTGCTTATGTCCATAATGGGCAGCATTAATATATACCCACATGACAGCTAAGGTCAGAAGAGCTTTATTTAACAGCTGGCCTTATGTCTGTGACCCCTCCTGTTGTTCATTGATAAGCCTGAAACATGCACTTGTCAAGGTTCAGAGGCACATTTTGCGATCATCTTAAGATAAGATATACTTTATTGATCCCAAGCGGGGCCATTTTTTCGTTACAGCAGCATGTGTAACAGTTGTAAATATGCAGTGGTGTTTATTTGTAAATCAGTTAGTATAATCACACAAATTCTGTGTTCTTTATTTATTGAATGTTCAATACCTGACAAGGTCGGAGATGAAAAAGGTCGGAAATTAAAAACTTGGGTCGCAGGTTCCTCAACAGTGCATTACAAGACATCTATCGATATGTGTGTACCTCCACCATTAAACTGTCGTATTCTGCACATTTCTTATTCTATCTACATACATATCATAAGAGTTGAATACATATGTATAATATCAGTTAAAATAAGTGCTTCAACATAGTTAACATTGCAGGAAAGTTGATTGTCAAGTTCCAAAACAAACCATGCAATATATTAGACGTTAAGTACTTTGTCAGGCTTAATATCTATCTGTAGATACCCCCAAAGCTTTTTTCTTATTTAAAAGAAGACCTTAACCTAAAGTATTCTTTAATGTTTAAATAAAGCCTAATTAGTTTGTCTGTTTTGCACATCCTCCTGTTAATATCTTTGGACGTCCTGCACTAAACTGTTTTATTGTAGAGATCACTACAGTATCTTCTTGATATTTTCTATTCTATATTTCTATCATTGAGCTTCTACTTTCCCCCTATGAAAGTATGTACTCTTAATATTTTTATGTTTTCATCAAATATAACATATCAACAAAAAAAATTCAATAACGTGCTTTAACCACTAGGCGGTTAAAGCACTCAGGTTTACAGTTAACACAATAAAATATACTGCTGTTTCCAGTTTAGTTTATGATGGATGTATTTTGTTATCCACACATATATTGTTTTTATATTTGTAACACCAAACCGACAGAAAAGATGGTCTTAACATGACCCAGTGGTCTAGTTAATAAAAAATATATTATCAAACATAATATTAAAATTAACTCTTATTTTGAAAATACAGCTTCCTGTGTTCGAATGAGCTGCTCCGACCCTCGGTCCTGACGGACTCCAAAAGTCCGACATTATACAATCAAACAAATAAATAAACACAATTGATAATTGTGTGGATAAACGCTGTGAGAATGGATCTGCGGAGAGCATTTCTCTGCGATCCCAACTCGTCTATTACCAATGTTCAGGGAGCTCTATGCAAGTCAATGGGACTCCCTGATAGTTGAATATTAGGGCCCCCCCTTGCGTTGGAAAGTGACGACAGGGACCCTGACATAACGTCAACATAGGCCGAGTTGGGAGTGAGAATGTGTTGGTAAAAGACAGTGTGTGTAGATGTGAGTGTGTAAAAGACAGTGTGTGTGACTGTGAGTGTAAAAGACAGTGTGTGTGACTGTGAGTGTATAAAAGACAGTGTGTGTGACTGTGAGTGTGTAAAAGACAGTGTGTGTGACTGTGAGTGTCAAAGACAGTGTGTGTGACTGTGAGTGTGTAAAAGACAGTGTGTGTAGATGTGAGTGTGTAAAAGACAGTGTGTGTGACTGTGAGTGTTAAAGACAGTGTGTGTGACTGTGTGTGTAAAAGACAGTGTGTGTAGATGTGAGTGTGTAAAAGACAGTGTGTGTAGATGTGAGTGTGTTAAAGACAGTGTGTGTGACTGTGAGTGTGTAAAATACAGTGTGTGTGAATGTGAGTGTGTAAAAGACAGTGTGTGTAGATGTGAGTGTGTTAAAGACAGTGTGTGTGACTGTGAGTGTGTAAAATACAGTGTGTGTGAATGTGAGTGTGTAAAAGACAGTGTGTGTAGATGTGAGTGTGTAAAAGACAGTGTGTGTGAATGTGAGTGTAAAAGACAGTGTGTGTAGATGTGAGTGTAAAAGACAGTGTGTGAATGTGAGTGTGTAAAAGACAGTGTGTGTGAATGTGAGTGTAAAAGACAGTGTGTGTGACTGTGAGTGTTAAAGACAGTGTGTAGATGTGAGTGTGTACAAGACAGTGTGTGTGACTGTGAGTGTAAAAGACAGTGTGTGTGAATGTGAGTGTAAAAGACAGTGTGTGTAGATGTGAGTGTGTTAAAGACATTGTGTGTGACTGTGAGTGTGTAAAAGACAGTGTGTGTGACTGTGAGTGTAAAAGACAGTGTGTGTAGATGTGAGTGTGTTAAAGACAGTGTGTGTGACTGTGAGTGTGTAAAAGACAGTGTGTGTGACTGTGAGTGTAAAAGACAGTGTGTGTAGATGTGAGTGTGTTAAAGACAGTGTGTGTGACTGTGAGTGTGTAAAAGACAGTGTGTGTGACTGAGTGTAAAAGACAGTGTGTGTGACTGAGTGTAAAAGACAGTGTGTGACTGTGAGTGTAAAAGACAGTGTGTGACTGTGAGTGTAAAAGACAGTGTGTGTGACTGTGAGTGTAAAAGACAGTGTGTGACTGTGAGTGTAAAAGACAGTGTGTAGATGTGAGTGTGTTAAAGACAGTGTGTGTGACTGTGAGTGTAAAAGACAGTGTGTGTGACTATGAGTGTAAAAGACAGTGTGTGTGACTGAGTGTAAAAGACAGTGTGTGTAGATGTGAGTGTGTTAAAGACAGTGTGTGTGACTGTGAGTGTGTAAAAGACAGTGTGTGTGACTGTGAGTGTAAAAGACAGTGTGTGTAGATGTGAGTGTGTTAAAGACAGTGTGTGTGACTGTGAGTGTGTAAAAGACAGTGTGTGTGACTGAGTGTAAAAGACAGTGTGTGTGACTGAGTGTAAAAGACAGTGTGTGACTGTGAGTGTAAAAGACAGTGTGTGACTGTGAGTGTAAAAGACAGTGTGTGTGACTGTGAGTGTAAAAGACAGTGTGTGACTGTGAGTGTAAAAGACAGTGTGTAGATGTGAGTGTGTTAAAGACAGTGTGTGTGACTGTGAGTGTAAAAGACAGTGTGTGTGACTATGAGTGTAAAAGACAGTGTGTGTGACTGAGTGTAAAAGACAGTGTGTGACTGTGAGTGTGTAAAAGACAGTGTGTGACTGTGAGTGTAAAAGACAGTGTGTGTGACTGTGAGTGTAAAAGACAGTGTGTGACTGTGTGTGTAAAAGACAGTGTGTGACTGTGAGTGTAAAAGACAGTGTGTGACTGTGTGTAAAAGACAGTGTGTGAATGTGAGTGTAAAAGACAGTGTGTGACTTCGAGTGTAAAAGACAGTGTGTGACTGTGAGTGTAAAAGACAGTGTGTGTGACTGTGAGTGTAAAAGACAGTGTGTGTGACTGTGAGTGTAAAAGACAGTGTGTGACTTCGAGTGTAAAAGACAGTGTGTGACTTCGAGTGTAAAAGACAGTGTGTGTAAAATGGCGGATGTAAATGCAATTTATCGCCTCGTGCCAACAGAGTCTCTGCTTCCTTCTCTAACAAAAGCTACTCCAAACTATTGTGACTCACCGTCACAAAGAATACAAATATATACATATGTGTGTATTTATACATACATACACACCCACTTGAATATATATATTCTCACACTCATACAGCGTACTCTCTATTTTGTGTATTAGTGTTTTTGTCTCTATACTTTTGCTGTAACGATTGAACTATGTGTAGAACAAATAAAGGTCTGATTGTGACGGCCCAGAAGGTGAGGATGTGAAGGTGTTAGTGGGGGTTAGAAGAGGAAGAGGAGGAGGAGGTGATGAAGAGGAGGAGGAGGAAGAGGTGATGAAGAGGAGGAGGAGGAAGAGGTGGTAAACAATGCGCTGCTTCCAACACATCTCCTGGCAGCCACTGAGTTTCTAAACGAGGCTCTCTGAGACTCAGGCTTTGAATCAGAAGCCAAAACAAAACAAACCCCCTCCATGCATACACACACACACACACACACACACACACACACACACACACACACACACACACACACACACACACACACACACACACACACACACACACACACACACACACACACACACACACACACACACACACACACACACACACACACACACACACACACACACACACACACACACACACACACACACACACACACACACACCTGCTCCTCCTCAGGTGTGTTTCAGACTGGAGCCTCTCTGGATTTAGACCAAGCTGTACCTGAACGCCTCACAGACTCATTACTGGCCCTTTAACTCCGTAGGATGTTTTCCACTAAAACATCACATTTAAAATACATTTTAAGGTTTGAAGGAGCAAAGATGTCTTGTTGCGATTTCATTTGAATGTCTCTACTTCAGAGATGGTCTGCTTATAGGTTTAAAATATAAATGCATTGAAGAAATAATGTCTACAAAGGGATGTGAAAATGACGAATGATACCAAATTCAATGCAGGTTGCTGTGTTATAATTTAAAAGCTTCTTCTTCAGTCTGGACTTCCTCCAACAATATTTTTTGGTTGTAAACACACGTCGTTTTATTCACTAGTTTCCAAAACCCTTCAGTTTTCCACTCAGCACTTCCTCTGCTTTCACCTGCAGGTTCTTTAGCTACCTGAGTCACTGTCGACTGACAAAACAATGTTTCAGTTGCTAAAACTCAAAATGACTCTTCAATGCTTCACCTTCAGGACGTTGCAGACACAAATTACCACTCAACTGCTTTAATTACTTATATTTCAACATGTAACTGAGACATGTACTCCTTGCAGTGCTCCAACATCACCTGACACTTCAGAATACAGAGATTTTCATGATGTGAACATTTTCCTTAAAAAGTATATGAATTTCCAGAAAAAAAATGTTTAAGAATTTGAGAAAAATGTAGGACTTTTCGGGAAAAAAATTGAATTTTCCGATTTCGAGAAAAAAGTCTGACTTTTTCGATTTTGAAAAAAAAAATCTAAATTCCAGAAAAGTTCTGAATTTTCTGAAAATCATACAATTGTTTTGAAATCGTATGAAATCTTAATTTTTCGATTTTGGGAAAAAAGTCGGAATTGTTTGAATATTCCGAATTTTTTGATTTACAGAAAAATTCTGATTTTGTGATTTTCACGAAAAGTCCACATTTTTTTACTCTTTAGAAAAAGTCACAATTATGCCACCTCAGTGTGTTTGGTGTAGTCAGTGTTAGAGGATCCTGCTGCTGCTCTCGGACGGACCAGCTCTTAAACCAGTTTTTAGATGAGTTTAAAGTAGACCAGGTCTAGTTTGATGAGTTTGCAGTGTGACTCACTTGCGTAGGCAGAGTTTGTGGAGCCGTTGAGGAAGCTTGGAGACCCCGGGACCCCCAGGTTGGTCATCCCCGCTCCGTACCCGTTCATGGAGGACGTGATGGTGTTGTAGTTGGACTGCTGAGGCGTGGAGGACGGCACGTAGCCGCGCGGGGACACGCTGTTCGAGTTACGGGAGTATCCTGGGGAGGAAACACGGGTTAGTTCAGATTTAACAAAGGAGAGGTGATAGAGATGCATTTAGGGGAAACATTGAGAGAAAGGGAAATAGACATTGCCTCGTACACAGTGCTGCACGATCTTAGTAGAGGTTTTTGTTGTCAATGACTGCGAATAAAATGATGTCAACTTCTTCCATTAAATCTGTAAATAATTCATTAATTTTTTTAATATTTCCTATTATTTTGAGATTCTAAACTGCAATGTCACGAAACAAATGTTGAAGTCTTTTGATTTGAGACATTTTAACACCAGTTATACTTCTTTGATTACTTCAGGAACATATCGACATCACTATGCAGGGGTAGACATTAAGGGTAAGTAGATTCCCATTGTCTCGGCCCCCCCGTTGTAACCACTGGCCCAAGAGCATTCCACTCTAATAATGAAGAAAATTAACACATTTGTTTCAATAGTAATTTATGCAAAAACTACTTGAACCACAACATTTGAATCATCAGTTCTTCCTCAATTGTTCATATTTGGTTTATTAAAATTGTTATATTGTGGTCATTGTTAAAGAAAAAAATGAGACATTTCTGCTAAGAGTATTATTCTTAGTATAATTTGCTTTCTGCCTTCCTGTCATCAGGAGTTAGACATGTAATGGCTATGTATTAGAATATAACCTTCATTCTCCTGCTGGGACATTTCCCTGAAGTCAATATACCTATATTTGTTCTACTCTTCACTTACTTGTCAGCAGGACGGCATTGATGTACAGAGCCGACCATAGACCGTGTTTATATCATCATATTGAAGCCAACTCCATCCATCAAGAAACGTTCTCTCCCTCTTCTTCTCCTTCTCCCTCTCACTCTCCTTTAACTCATCCGGTGACATTCTTTTATTTGAAGATAGTTTTTTGCCCGGCGCTTGGCCGGTTACCGGTGGTATTAAAAAACATTTTTACGCTGTGCGGGGGGTCTAAATAGTGCTTCCGGGCCAGCGGGCCATTTATAATGTCGAGCCCTGCTATGTAACACTCGCACTCCTATTGGCTAGCGCTCCAACACATTGTACGTGATAGGCTAAGGGGCGGGACATCTCTGCGCTTGTTGACCAATCACAACAGAGAGAGTCTTTAAAGTATTGTATATATTTAATGTAATGGTGTAAAGTGAGTAACGCTGCAGGACCCCCGCCCTCCTCGCTGTGACCTCATCAGTGACATCATCACGACCTCTCTCTCCCTCACCTCTCCTCTACACTTACAGTACCTTAACACCCCCATTTTCCTCCCCCCTCCCCCAAAATAAACCTCCCGTTGATAGACCCTCATCGAGCATGCATGGAATAGCGATGTTCTCAGCGTGACCTTTGACCCCCCCAGAGACTTCCTGTTCCCACTGAGGTTTCTGAGAGGAGCCAACACTCTGCCAAGTAGCACATTAAACCCCCCCCCCCCCACTTAAAATATCTCCCCCCCTCCCTCCTTCCCCCCTCCTCCCTCGTTCACTTTCCCCCACTTCCTGGTTCGGGCCAACGCAATTCCCAGGCGGAGCCGATGGGAAACACATGTGGAGGAAAGAGTGAGCGAGAAACGAGAAGTCACGACTGCTCTGTGATAAAGAAAACTGTTTCTGTTCTGTGCGTGTGTGTGTGTGTGTGTGTGTGTGCGTGCGTGTGTGTGTGTGTGTGTGTGTGTGTGTGTGTGTGTGTGTGTGTGTGTGTGTGTGTGTGTGTGTGTGTGTGTGTGTGTGTGTGTGTGTGTGTGTGTGTACGGCGTGGGAAGGGTTACAAAAACTGGTTAAAATTTATTTTTCATGCATATTCTTCAAGAAAAAGTGACCAGGATTGCCAAAAACACAGAAAAGCTGCAAAACTGTTCATGCAAAAATATAGAAAATGGTCCAAATTAACTTCCTATTACAATGCATTAATTAAAAAAGGACCATAGCTCTTTGTAGGAATATAAATCTTCTCCAAAATATTTTAAAATGAGGATATTTTCCTCTCATGTTGATCCACTGGATGCTTCACTTTCTTACTTGCTTCATGCATTTCTATATTATTCTGTATATGTACAATAACAGAGAGTTAACATGTATTACATTTATTAAGGAGTTATTATGGTGTTTTCTGAGAATAAAGGATGTGGTTTGTTGTGTTTTTGATTTGGAGCCCCTCAGGATTTTAGGATATATAAATAGATCTGATTGAACTTGAGTTACGGAGATAATGAGCTACAGATGCCAAAACTGTGACGTCTGAAGTATGTAGTGTCTCTACTTTAAAGAGGTGATAGGATAAGAGTCCTCTCCTGCTGATGTTCAGGTGTATATCAGTATGTAGTGTCTCTACTTTAAAGAGTCCTCTCCTGCTGATGTTCAGGTGTATTTCAGTATGTAGTGTCTCTACTTTAAAGAGTCCTCTCCAGCTGATGTTCAGGTGTATATCAGTATGTAGTGTATCTACTTTAAAGAGTCCTCTCCTGCTGATGTTCAGGTGTATATCAGTATGTAGTGTCTCTACTTTAAAGAGTCCTCTCCTGCTGATGTTCAGGTGTATATCAGTATGTAGTGTCTCTACTTTAAAGAGTCCTCCCCTGCTGATGTTCAGGTGTATATCAGTATGTAGTGTCTCTACTTTAAAGAGTCCTCTCCTGCTGATGTCCAGGTGTATATCAGTATATAGTGTCTCTACTTTAAAGAGTCCTCTCCTGCTGGTGTTCAGGTGTATATCAGTATGTAGTGTCTCTACTTTAAAGAGTCCTCTCCTGCTGATGTTCAGGTGTATATCAGTATGTAGTGTCTCTACTTTAAAGAGTCCTCCCCTGCTGATGTTCAGGTGTATATCAGTATATAGTGTCTCTACTTTAAAGAGTCCTCTCCTGCTGGTGTTCAGGTGTATATCAGTATGTAGTGTCTCTACTTTAAAGAGTCCTCTCCTGCTGATGTTCAGGTGTATTTCAGTATGTAGTGTCTCTACTTTAAAGAGTCCTCTCCAGCTGATGTTCAGGTGTATATCAGTATGTAGTGTCTCTACTTTAAAGAGTCCTCTCCTGCTGATGTTCAGGTGTATATCAGTATGTAGTGTCTCTACTTTAAAGAGTCCTCTCCTGCTGATGTTCAGGTGTATATCAGTATGTAGTGTCTCTACTTTAAAGAGTCCTCTCCTGCTGATGTCCAGGTGTATATCAGTATATAGTGTCTCTACTTTAAAGAGTCCTCTCCTGCTGGTGTTCAGGTGTATATCAGTATGTAGTGTCTCTACTTTAAAGAGTCCTCTCCTGCTGATGTTCAGGTGTATATCAGTATGTAGTGTCTCTACTTTAAAGAGTCCTCTCCTGCTGATGTTCAGGTGTATATCAGTATGTAGTGTCTCTACTTTAAAGAGTCCTCTCCTGCTGGTGTTCAGGTGTATATCAGTATGTAGTGTCTCTACTTTAAAGAGTCCTCTCCTGCTGATGTTCAGGTGTATATCAGTATGTAGTGTCTCTACTTTAAAGAGTCCTCTCCTGCTGATGTCCAGGTGTATATCAGTATATAGTGTCTCTACTTTAAAGAGTCCTCTCCTGCTGATGTTCAGGTGTATATCAGTATGTAGTTTCTCTACTTTAAAGAGTCCTCTCCTGCTGATGTTCAGGTGTATATCAGTATGTAGAGTCTCTACTTTAAAGAGTCCTCTCCTGCTGATGTTCAGGTGTATATCAGTATGTAGTGTCTCTACTTTAAAGAGTCCTCTCCTGCTGATGTTCAAGTTCTGAATGTAGATCTTTGCTTCCCATGACCTCATCATTCTGTAAGGTGTTCGCTGCAGGCCGATGGGGAAAGCAGACCACGGTTCAGTGTGTGTGTGTGTGTGTGTGTGTGTGTGTGTGTGTGTGTGTGTGTGTGTGTGTGTGTGTGTGTGTGTGTGTGTGTGTGTGTGAGTGTGTGTGTGTGTGTGTGTGTGTGTGTGTGTGTGTGTGTGTGTGTGTGTGAGTGTGGGTGTCGAGGGAGTAGAAACAGTTCGACCTGCTTCCTGTCGACGCGTGTTCACAAGCTGTCCGCTGAAAGGAAACTTTAGCCTCAAACTGTACATTTTTCTGTGTGTGTGTGTGTGTGTGTGTGTGTGTGTGTGTGTGTGTGTGTGTGTGTGTGTGTGTGTGTGTGTGTGTGTGTATCAGTGTGTGTCAAAGTGTGTCAAAGCCAGATATAACTTCCCCATTATTGTTGGAGAACTCTTGCCTTCCTGCTGCAACAAAAACTCACTAAAGAACTGAATGTAGATTCATCCGCCATAGAAAATAGTTCCCAACAAACGCACAACTTTTTCCTTTTTGTTGGTAGAAATAAAGGTTATAGGGCTTGTGATGTTATCTTGCATTTGTAATATTGTACTATCAATAGAGTGTCTGTTCCTGGTGTTAAATGCTGCGTGACAGTTCAGTAAAAATGACTGTATTCAAACAAAAGTGTAAATATTTCGTAAAAGCACCGATAGTCAACGGTACAATATCGTTGCATTATCGATATTGAGGTATTTTATCAGAGATATTTGACTTCCTCTGTATCACCCAGTTAGATATTAGTGTTTGCATGTAAGACATTATGAATATATTAATTGTAAAGTGATGAAGGTGAAGAGAAGTGATCAGAAAACAGCATCAAAAGAAAGAGAAGAAGCGTGAGGAAGGTGAATTAACCCTGATGCTGTGTGTGTGTGTGTGTGTGTGTGTGTGTGTGTGTGTGTGTGTGTGTGTGTGTGTGTGTGTGTGTGTGTGTGTGTGTGTGTGCGTGTGTGTGTGTGTGTGTGTGTGTGTGTGTGTGTGTGTGTGTGTGTGTGTGTGTGTGTGTGTGTCTGTATGACAAACTCCTTTAATTTAGAGAAGCTGACGGTGTCTCTTCTCAAAGTGCAGAGTTAGTTTTCTGTGTTTCTCTCAGCAGGAGAACCAGCAGGAGTTCTTCATCACACTTTATGAAGATGATGAACTCATATCCCTACAGGACGGAGGATTGGTCGGCTAGTTTTTGGGGTGGAGTCTAGTTTATTATGTCTCCAACAGGTAAATGAAGTCTTCCCACTGATACCAGGATAGCGAAGAGTCTGCATATCTTTCATCAAGAAATGAAGACCCACCTGTTTCTCTTATACCTTGCCCATTAAAAAATAAAAAGCAATTAAGAGTTGAACTGATACAGCAGACCTTACTATAGTCTGGCCTGTTTGTAGCACACATGTCAGCAATGTTCTTGTTGTCCTTAGTTTGAATCACTTTGGTTTATTGCACTTAATGTACGTTGCTTTGGATAAAAGCCTCGGCTAACTGCTATGTAATGTAAAACTAGTACAGCCCAAACACACAACCAGGTGACTCGACTTCGGTCGTGTGTGTGTGTGTGTGTGTGTGTGTGTGTGTGTGTGTGTGTGTGTGTGTGTGTGTGTGTGTGTGTGTGTGTGTGTGTGTGTGTGTGTGTGTGTCAAAGTGTGTGTCAAAGTGTGTGTCAAAGTGTGTGTCAAAGCCAGATATAACTTCCCCATTATTGTTGGAGAACTCTTGCCTTCCTGCTGCAACAAAAACTCACTAAAGAACTAAATGTAGATTCTTCCGCCGTAGAAAATAGTCCCCAACAAACGCACAATTCTTTCCTTTTTTTTGGTTAAAATAAACCTTGTACTACGGCTAGTGATATTATCTTACATTTGGAATACTGTACTATCAATAGAATGTCTTGTCCTGGTTTTAAAGGCTGCGCTACAGTAAAGTGATGAGTGTGTATTCAAAGCACCGATAATCAACGGTACAATATCGGTATATTGCGGTATCTTTTCTGGATCTGCTGATCCTGTGTTTTTGGAAACACAGCATTTTTGTATCTTTTATCAGAAACTCAAGTAAAGACTATTGTGTGCTTCAAACCTGTGTCTGTATCCTACTTCGGTCATGTCTTTAAAAACCCTTAAAAAGCTTCTGAGAAGACGCTGTGAAATCAGGCAAAAAGATAATTTCTCTGGCATTCTAGTGTCTCTACTAAAAAGTCCTAATTCTCAGATAAAAGTCAGAATTTAATCTCAGAATCCTGTTCATGTTCATGTGATGCAGTGTGTTCCTCACCCTGCTCCTGAGACGCCTCGGAGATGTTGACAGCTAATTGGCTGCTGAAGGAGTTCATCATGCCTGAGTGGGCGGAGCCTGAGAGAGAGGGCAGCTGGTTGTGGGAGCGAGGGACGCTGTAGAGAGCCTCGGTGAGGTCAGCTGCTCGCTTCAGGATGATCTCCTGAAGGGAATACATCTGTTATTATAACATAATATACATAACATTCCCCGACCAAGACATTCTGACAATTTGAGTGTTAAGGATTGGTAGCTAGGCTAAGTTAGCCTTATTATGAGCTTCCTGTTAGGACACATGTACTTCCCCGGGGTTTTATTTTGAAAAACAAGCCACTTTCTGAGACTTCCTCTAAGGATATGATCTCTATGGAGTTTTTATTTTTGAAAAACATTATCTTCCAGAACTTGCTACAAGGATACAGTCTCTTTGGGGCTTTTATTTTGAAAAACAATCTCATACCTAGCTTCCTGTTAGGATACATGAACTCCTTAGTGCTTTTATTTTGAATGTGAGAACAGTTTTAAACCCTGACAACAAGTCAGGTTATTACGTTTGATACATAAACATGAAGATGATATATGATGTTGTTTCACAGTTCACACTTAGAGCTCTTGAACTTCCCAAATATGGAAAAACTAGCGTCAGAGTGGTACCTGAATGCACCGTTTGTCACTTCTAATGTCATGGAATGACCTTCAATCACGCCTCAAACTGAGGGCACTTGTCTCTATAGCATGTTTTAAATTGAAGTTGTCTGAAGTCCTCACCACCAGCTGCTCTTGCAGTAATAAGTAGTGCACTTTTCTTACTGTCCTAATGTGCACAATGTAGTGACGGCTTTTTCGTCTTTTGTTTTCTTTATGTTCTCTGTATTTTATATGTTTGTGTTATGTGTTATGTGTAACGTTGCTGCCTTCTTGGCCAGGTCAGCATTGAAAATGAGATTTTATCTCAATGTTTTTTATCTGGTTAAATAAAGGTTAAATATAAAAATAAAAATAAAATGTCTCTAAGAAATGTTGTTGGAGTCTGAAATGATCAAATATGTAAACCTGCAAATACCGTTTGTATAAAAGAGGATGGCAAAAGTTAACGTGATTAAAGATTATCCTCCGCTCCATCAGGAACTGTTTCTTCCCAGCTGTCAGTGAACGCACCGTGTCCTGGTTCAGATTAAACGTTTTAATTTGAAACCTGACTCATCTGACGGAGTTAAATAAAGTGCTAACG